ATCCATTAAACTTGAAAGAGAGTTTTGCAGGGTATATCAATCTGGGTTGGAATTTGTTTTCTTGCAAAACTTGTAGTACCTTCTTCCATGCTCTTCTTGACTTGATGGTTTGTGAAGAGAAATCTGCCATTATTCTGATGGGTTTTCCTTTAAATGTGATATGTCTTAGTAGATTTTAATATACTGTTCCTGTGCTGAATTTCTGGGATCTTGATTATTATATGTCTGGGTTTGTTTTTAATTGCGTTGATGTTATTTGGAGTTATATATGCTTCAGTTACATGAATGTCAGATTGTATCCCCATTTTGGGGAAGTTCTCTACTTTACTTCTGCCCATATTCTTTTTATATCATTTGTATTGACTCTTTTTTTCTCATTGATGCCTATTAGCTTTATGTAGTTCATCTTTGCATCATCTTGCAGGTGTTGAATTATTTTTCCTGCATCCTATTTGGTTTTAAGAGACCTTTTCTTACCTTTTCGCTAGCTGCAACAGTGTCTTCAAGGTTTGAAACTCTATCTTCACTTTCATTGATACAGTTTTGCCAGCTTGTGATTAAGGTTCCAATTTCCTGTATATCATTTTGAATCTGCTTCATGCATTTTACTTCTTTCCCATATTTCTTATTCAAGGATTCCATCATTTTTCTATTCTCCTCCAATTTTTTTAATCAGTGTCTTCTTTAGAAGTACTTCAAGTTGTCATTCGTTTTTTAACTTCAGGAATTATTTCTGATCTGATTTCCTCTGTACCTTTCTGCAGTTCTTTCTTTACTTCAGATGCTATTATTTCAGAAATTTCAGGTGTGTGATTTCCAATTTCTTCTATGCTATTGTCTCCTGCATTTGTTCTGGGCAGGTTTGGGACCTGAAAATACATTTTACTCCTTCTCTTGTCATTTTATATAGCACTGTCTTCTGACCTTTGGTATAGAGCTTTGGTACAGCTATTACCTTAGCACCAAGTCTGGATCTACCAAGTTCCAACTCATCCAGGTGCGTGTTGCTAGGGTCTGGCTGCTGTGCTCCACTTCTTCCTGATGCAGCCCTTGGAAGTGAACCTACTGTGTCATTCTGGCAAGATGTTCTGCTGCTGGATTAGCTGAGTGATCTGTAGGGGGTCACTGTAGGGAGTTCTGCTATGGGGTTCCACACTGGGCCTGTCTGGTGGAGGAAGTTCCACACACACCCCTGGCCTGGGTGCTGGCTGGAGTGAGGATCTGGTGGACCCCAAGAGGTCTCACACACACACACACACACACACACACGCACACACACACACTGGGCTTTGGAATTTACTGGAATGAGGATCTGGTGGGTCCCAGGTAGTCCCATACACACATGCTAGACCTGGGTGCTGGCTGGAATGAGGATCTGGTGGGCCCTAGACAACACCACTCACATGCCAGACCTGGGTGCTAGCTGCAATGAGGATCTGGTGGGCTGGCAAATGGTCCCACTCACACACACAGGGCCTTGGCACTAGCTGGAGTAAGGCTCTGGCAGGCCCCAGGCAGCCCCATTCATACTACATTTCCTTATTATAAACTGTTGTCATAAAAGTGCAAGAACCATGAAGAATGTGGTGGTATGGACCTATCACATATGCTCTCTAGGAGTCTAAGACAAGAAGACTGCATAGTTAAGACTAGCCTGGGAAATTTGTCAACGTAGTGAGTGCCTCTCTTAAAATAAAAATAAACAAAAAGTATACAACTCAGTGGGAAGGCTTTTCTTCAGGAAAAATTATACTGCTCCTTTTTGTTATCATGGGTGATGCCATATTGCAAGTGAACTAATCTGAAATCCTTTCACCTTGAGAAAATGTACAAGCCTTAGAATACCTTGTTCTCATGTTGCTATTTATGTACATAATTAAAATCCAATAGGAAAACATGACAGGGGCAAAGTCATACATTTATACCCACAATATGGGTAAAGCAATGATCCTGAGAAACAAGCAGGTTTTTGAAACTAACAGTTGATTGGTAGGATTCTCACCCTAACTAGCTTTATATGCTGATGCCTGTGAACCGAGCAGCTGCATTGAAGGTAACAATGTGTAATAGAAGGGTCACGCTTGCGATGCCTATCATTCTGGTCTTCTAAATAAGTACTGCTAGTTATGACATACCAATTATTACCATACTGTCTCTCAAGTAAATGTTTCTTTTTTTTAAAAAAAAGGTAATAAATGGAAAAAGACACAAGAAAAATAAGGCACAAGACTGTTCTGCTACAATGCTGTATATGGTTAAATTTCCAAATTTCTGTATACAAGTACATAATTGTTTATTTATATTTTTAAATATTTTTCATTTTTAAATTTCTTTCTCCATATTCTTAGAGACTTAAAGTTTAACATATCAATACTTGATGGAAAATACCTGCTCCATGTTATGCCTAAGAAGTTTGATATTCAGACAGATAGTGAGGCTAAACCCAACTGCATATGCTGTAGGGTAATAATAAGCTTCTCTTCTGGACAGTTTCAAAACTGATTAATACGGGAGTTTCAATAATCAATATATTGCATATTGCTATCTTCTTAGTGGATAGTCATAGTACAAGATGCAGACATGTTATCCTGTCCAAATACTATGAGTACAAATCTTTCTTCTCATTGAATTAAGAGAAAGTAGCTGTTTATCAATCCTAACCATTTTGTATACATAGATACAAATGGTCCTTTCTTTGTATCCCCTTGTTTTGTTTAGTTTTGTCAGACATGGGTATTCCCTTGTCACTTAAATATTGTAGGTGTGTGAATTCAGCAAAATGATCCAATATAGTCCAATAGTCCATAATAGTAGTGGGTTATCTGTAAGACTGGCAATGTCAAAAGTTTTTGACTTCACCCTTTTACAGCTTAGCTGATATGTCTTTACTTTTTATACCTCATTTTTATACTTTTCTGCTAGATGGTTAAGACCAAGATAAAGCAAGACCTATGTAACAAGAAATATGCGTTTTGTATCTGACAAGGTCAGTCAAGTCCCCTCAGGATTTATCCTGTAACCCTGTACCGCAGTTTGCATATCACTTGTCAGTGTCAGCCATGTGGATGAGTCATGGTCATTGCTTGACCAATTTCCTCTCTGTGCAAGCCTGAGAGAATGTTTTCTCTCCGCGTGACTCTCTTTAGGCACAGTCTACATCATTAATCAAATTTCTCTGTGGTCCATAATCTCCTTGATCAGAAAATTTGGGACATAACTGAGTTACATGACATCACAGTATATGTTCTCCTATGTCCTGAGTCTTCACTGACCTTGAAAGGCCAGATCCAAAATGTTGGCTTTCCTTGAAGCCCTTCCTTTTCTATAATTTTTGGTCTGCAAACTTAGGTTGTTAATCCTCCAGAAGAGAAGCTTATTATTACCTTACAACATATGCAGCTGGATTTAACCTCACTATCTGTCTAAATATCAAGCATCTTAGGCATAATATCGAACAGGTATTTTCCATCTAGTATTGATATGTTAAACTTTAAGTCTCTACAGAATATTGAGAAAAAATTTTAAAAATATTTTTAAAATATAAATAAACAATTACATACTTTTATATAGAAGTTTAGAAATCTAA